CTTTGCTGGAGGTGAACCGAGGACATGGGCTCCGAGGACACCGGCGGGAAGGATTGTCGGCTGGAGCACTGACTCCTTTAGCCGAGTTCTGTGTGAGAGAGACGCCCCAGGTGCCAAGCCTGTCGTCGCGAGGTGACCTCTACTCCCACACGGGTAATCGGTGGGTCCGCCTCAGAGTGACCCTTCTTTCTTCTAGGACCACATCATGGAGATCTTCTCCACCTATGGGAAAATTAAGATGATTGACATGCCCGTAGAAAGGATGCACCCCCATCTGTCTAAAGGTTATGCGTACGTGGAGTTTGAGAATCCAGATGAGGCCGAGAAGGCTCTGAAGCACATGGATGGAGGTGGGTGACCCTCCCTGCACCCCCGAACCCCCTCTCTGCTCCCTGCGCAAGTCTGGGGACAGCCCCACGGAGGGACCTTTAGAACCAGTTTCTACCAGCTCCCTGCCACTCTTGACCAGTGCATGTGTGTTCACCAAAAACAAGTTTATGAGATACTATTCTTGGAAAGTTTTCACCAAAAATGAACACGTTAACATTTTTAGAATGTTCCAGTCTGTGACAACTTAAGGATTGAAAGACGGGGTCTTCTTCTACACTACCATGAATATGAATATGAGGCATTTGGCTTTTATAAGGCAGTGTTTTCTTCAGTCCTCTCTGAGAGTCATTTTCTGTTTTGCTGACGTTTCAACGTTTTTAGGTTTGCTTTGCTGAATTCACACATTTTACCCATTTCCCTGAAGCTTGTATCTTAATTATTTGTGACATTTCTGGCTTTTTCGTATCGCAGAACGGTTTTGACAACAGTTGGGCACTTGTGAATAGTTTTGGATGGCTGGTTTTCGTCTTGTCTTCTTTAAGTCAGTGTTTTTAAGGAGCGTGGACTTTGTCTCCGCCCCAGCTCGCTGCTCTCGTAATCCAGGCAGCTGGAGCGGAGAGCCAGCTCCCCTACGGCACTGTATGTGCGGTGTCAGGCCACGTAGGGAAGGGTCTGAACACCCAAGAACCTCTGAGTCCTCGAAAGCTTGTTATCCACTGGAAACAGCGTGACGGCTTGATGGTTAGTTGCCCTTGAGCCCTGATGGAGCTTGGATACTAGGAACTTTCCTGAGCGCTAAGCTGGCTGTCTGCAATCTTTCAGATCCCTCTGAGGGGCACCTGAGTGACTTAGTCATTTGAGCGTCAGATTCTTCATTTCAGCTCAGGTCACGATCTCAAGGTTCGTGGGATCAAGCCCTGTGTCGGGCTCTGCACTGACAGCGAGGAGCCTACTTGGGATTCTCTCTCTCTCACGTAGTCAGTCAATCCATTTGAAGTTTTTTTAGGAGTTCATCATGAACTGTGCCCACCTCTCTTGACCTTAATCATACCTTCATTTTAGAGACTGTGGAACGTGCACCTTTGAGAGCTAGAACACTTGCTAAGAATTCAGTACACTCGGGCCCATCCAGGGTGTGCATGGTCGTAGCCCACATTTTAAGATTCTGGTAGGATTTGTGTGCGTGTCCACACGCTGCACTGCGCCTTGTTGAGCGGAACAACGCCGCGCTGGCCCCAGAAGGGATGTGGGAAGCTTGGCCTTCCCTGGAAGCTGCCCAGAAGATAAATTTGTCTTCATTGCTGTATGGTTGGTGTCCGTGAATTCCTGCTTTTAGGCTGGCTTTGGCCATGGGCCCCATTTACTTAAGTCTTGTGAGTACGTTCTGAACACACATCCACACGCCCGAGTTATCCCCTTGAGGCCCCTGCTACTTCCTACAGGGCTGGGGCCGAGAAGCTAACAGAGGGCGCATGAGGGCTGTGCTCGGTCCCCTGAGCAGGCCCTGCGCTGGGACCGACGTGCGTGCTCCCTGAGGTTCCTAGGTCTGCGCCTTGGTCTCCTTTGCTTTTTTTACCCAAGGCCCTGAAGGTTCCTTGGGCCTCCATGCTCAGCCGCCTCCCTTTGCTGCTCTCATTCGATTACATTCAACCCAGCCGGTTTTGGGCCTGGCTGCATGCAGAGTCCCCTCCCGGAGGCGGTTTGTCCACAGTCTGAAGGCAGACCTGACGGCTGGGCCTCGTTTGGTTGTGTTCCCCCGCCCCGGAAGTCTTGTCTTCCTGCCGCGCCATGGTGCAGTCATAGCTCGTCTAGAAACCTGGCTGTCGGGACCATCCCTCCCCCCCCCCCCCCCCCCCCCCCCCGGCCACGAGGCCACACCTCTTCCAGGGCAGTCCTTCTGGAGCTCTGACATTCTGCCCCATCTTGGTGCCGCGGGCCCCCCAAAATGCCCTCCCTCCTGGTGCGTGCCCCTTCCAGCATTTTAGAGGAGGCAGCTCGGTGCTGGTCCCACCTTCTGGCTCAGGTGAGGGTCCCCTCAGTGAGTGGGCTCCGCATCCGCTTGGACGTGCTTTCCTTGGATGCCGTGGGTCAGGTGCCTCGGCGCCTCGATGTGCTCCCCACACGCTTCCGTGCCACGCACACGCTTCTGCGGCGTTCCTAGCTCGCCGTGCGCCCTGCTTACCACGGCGGGCCTGCGTGTGGCGTGGGCTGGCCTAGGGCACGCGCTCAGCCGCTATTTTGGGACTTGATCTTTTTTTCAACAGGACAAATCGATGGCCAGGAGATCACTGCCACGGCTGTGCTGGCCCCGTGGCCTAGGCCACCACCCAGGAGGTTCAGCCCTCCCAGGAGAATGCTGCCTCCGCCTCCCATGTGGCGTCGGTCACCCCCACGGATGAGGAGGAGGTAGGCCTGTTGGGAGTCCCCCAGGGGAGTGCTCGCGGCCTGTGCGGGTCTGTCTCCTTCAGCACAGCGTGATGGTGCTGGCCTCAGCCTTACCCGGCTTGTGGGCGGGAGTGGGACGGCGCCGTGGGGGGACGCCTGCTGGGGGTGTGGCCCTGCCGGCGGCACCAGATTTCCTGGGTCTGGGTCCTCTCCCCTTCCTAGCTAAGAGGACAGGGAGGCTCGGGGGAGGGGGCTGTCGCTGGGCAGAGGCCGGCGCGTGGCCCTCCTCTGCCAGCGGTGTTGAGCCACCCTGTGCACAGCCCTCAGGAAAGCCGGCCGTCAGGGAGCCCTCCTGGCTGGGAGCGTTGACGTGTGAAACGCCACAGAACGTCCCTTCCCGAGGGCAGCCGCGCCCTCTCACTCGCTCGTTCCTCTCCCCGCAGGTCCCGCTCCCCGAGGCGCAGATCCCCGGTGCGCCGGCGGTCCCGCTCGCCCGGCCGCCGCCGCCACAGGAGCCGCTCCAGCTCCAACTCCTCCCGATAAGCAGGGCCCCGGAGCTCTGCGTCCTGGAACTTCTGTCCCGTCCACTTCAGTTTGGTCACTTGTAGCCACGGGGGGGTTGGTAGGAGAGGACTCCTCACTCAGGGCAGGCTTCGAAGGCCGCGACTGAGACGTTTCCTCTGAAGGCAGAGTTCCAGCTGCGGGAGCGCTAGTGGCTTGGGGTTGTGCCCGTAAAGATGCCCAGCCGTTTTCTGGCTAGAAAACTCTCACATCCGTAGTTCCTGAGAGTCCATTCAGCGGCACAGCCGGCAGGGACAGCGCAGGGCTCTGGGTGGCAGAGCGGCCCCAGCCTTGGGGGTGGGGGGCGTTTTTGATTGCCATGGATGGCTGGGGCCGAGCCGGTGGCCTGGTGGTGCCCGAGCTTGCCGGTCTACAGGGTCCCTCGGGAAGGGGCGTGCCTTCACAAGGCCGCAGTCCTGCCAGCCCGCCCTGCCCCCGCCCTGCTCGGGTCCTCCTCCGGCATCTACAGTCAGGCACCCTGTGTTCATCGCCGAAAACAGTGGTTTTTACACGTGCTCATGCACACACCCTACATCCCACGGCTCCCTTCCTCTCTGAACTTGGTGAGCGAGCTGAGAGCCAGCTCCACAGGGTCACCACGGACCCCCCCACACACACCCGTGGTACCTGTCATTCACTGTGGTCTCCCAGGTTACCGTGGCAACGTGTACATTGCTCTCTTTTTTTTTGGCTTTTATTGTACAGTCAGTACTATACATTTGTTTTGAGTTTTGTAACTTGTAGCATTTTAGGCGCTGTTGTGTTTGTACTTTGTTGTGTAGAAAGAGGGGACTATGTTGAATAAACCAGATTAGACTGCCGACTGAGTACTGACCTCACTGCCTCCTTCCTGTCCGTGACCCCAAAGGCAGCTTCAGTTATAAGGGCACTTAAAACACACGGCCACAGTCCTACTTCCCGAGTCTGGGCCAGCAGAACCCCTGGTTGGTGCACGATCAGATGGCCATGAAATAATGAAAAAGCCGTTTTCCATCTCAAAAACTAGTTTCTGTTGCAATGAAGACTTGGAAACACTTAAGGTGTAAAAAACTGAAGTTTACAAATTCAACCAGCCCTGAATTGGGCCCTTGCTGTGTCCAGTGTTCAAGTGGGATGGTCAGAGCCAGGCCACGTCCTGCCACGCTGCTCGGAGGCTTCCTACCCGGGCAGGGACACCAGTGTTGATCTCAGGGGCCCTTCTGAGCTTTGCGCCTGCAGGATCGAGCGAACAGAAGGTGCCCACCGGCGTCCTGCCCCCAGCGTGAGGGCGCCTGTTTCTGCCCAGCCTGCACCCGAACTACCGCTCACACTTGAGGCGCCCCCCGCCCCCTCCCACCTCACCCCCACGGTACCCTTTTTAGTAGGTCTCTGCGGGTGGCAGTTTTGAGAGGCGGCCCTGGTGTAATCGGCTTGCCTTCGCTGCTGCTGGGCGCCTAGGGCCACTAGCCGCAGTCCCCGCCACCACCCACGCTCTCGGCCCCAGACGGCCGCGGGCTCCCGGAGTCGTGCAGTAACCTCCCCCCCTCATTCTCAACAAGTCTCAGCGACCTGATCTTTGCTCTGGTTGGTGGACGGCGTGGGAAGCATGCCAGCCTCCCGTGGGCGCAGACGTGAGTGGAGGGGAGCACGGCGTCCGCCTGCGGGTTGGTGGCCAGAGCTGGTCCCAGACGGCCCGTGCCAGGCCTCCCGACGCCACCGCGGAAGCCCTCTCACCCAACTTGGTCTCGGCAGTGCCCCGCCCTTGACACCCTACGCATCCTGTGGGACTCGGCGGCGGGAGGCGGGCCGGGGGCGGGCCGCAGCCCCGACCTGGGCTGACCAAGATGGCGCTGGCGGTGGGAGCGCGCGTCCTGCCTCGCGCCCTGCTCCGTCCGTGTGCGTGACCCCGGGGAGCGGGGGCCGGGGGGAGCTGGGGTTGGGGTCCGGGGCTAACGGGCCTCGCGCTGTCGTTCGCAGGGGCCCGGCTGCCGGGCGCGGTTCCCGGGCGGACGCGGCCGGCCGCCGGCGGCGGGGACCGCGTGCGGTGCTTCGGGAGCCCTCGGGTGCGGGTGGAGCCGGACCCCGCGGCAGGTAAGCGCCCCGGCGGCCGCAGGTTCGGGCGAGGGAGCCGACGCGGCGCTCGGTCGACACCCCAGCGCTCCCTCCTCGCCCGCGGCGCGTATTCCTGACCACGGCCCCGGTGGGGGGGGGGAGGGGACGCCCGAAGGCCAGTCGAGATAAAGCCCCGCACTGAGGACCGTTTCCATTGGGTTCAAAGCTTAAAGGTCTTCAGCCTAGGTGGTTTGAATGGGCGTTTTCCCCAGTTCAGGATGAAGATAAAAATGTATTGTTTTGTAAAGTTTGAGGGATTAGCTCTTCTATCTAACCTGTTAAGTTGGAAATTGAAAATAATTGGAAGTATTTTAGAATAAAATGATTTTATTTTACGTTAAAATATTCTCGTGTGGCACAGAACCTAGCAGATGTTTTACCAGTTAAAGCCAGGAGCCACCCCTGCCCCCATCAGAGCATGTCTGAAAACTCCAAAGGGGACAGAGAAGGTAGAAGAAGCGCCCTTGGAAGAGAAACCTGTGTCTTCTCTACCTGAGAGTGTTCCCGAGCTGCGTCCTGAGAAGGCTTGCAGCCACCTGTGGGCCGACTTTCAGGTTTTGGGGACATGCCATCCTCAGGCCTGTGAGAGGAGCTGGGGCGCCTCAGGGCCACGGCCTCAGCCCTCCTCCCCCCTGCCCACCCACCCTGCATCGGGGAGGTGCTTGTTCGCCCAAGCCCTCTGTGTTAACACGTGGAAACCTTCCCCCCAAACCTTCCCCCCACCCCCGAGTGTCCTCGATTCTGCTGGACCGGACTCAGTAAAGCTCCAGTCAGCCTCAAAACCTTCACCTTGAACCCAGTTCGGGGAGCTTGCTTCCAGGAAATCTGATCGCTTCTCACGTGTCCACATACATTCCTGTTGCCTGCTGCTAGTTAGTACTTGTACGTACCCCATAAACTGTGCGGTCAGAACAGCCCGTTTGCCTTCAGGGCTTAGTTCTCACTCCTCCAGAACTGTTTTATGTTCACCCTCAGGAGATTTCTGAGATCCTGATCAGAGAAATGTATCCTAAATGAACTGTGGCCCTTCTAAAGCCCTTGAGGTCTGTCCTTGGGCCAGGCACCCAGGACAGATTGCCTCAGCTGGCCCAGGCCATGGCTGCCCTGTTCCCAAGCGCTGGCCTGCCTGCCTTCCGCCCCCCCCCCCGCACACGTCCCCGCTGCTGGCAGGACCTCTAGCGAATCTTGGAGAATTTAAGAACATCAGCCCGCCAACGTGGCAAGCCTCTGTCCTTAAGCAAGAACCAGAGTCCCCAGTGCAGTTAGTTCCTCTTCAAATCTGGTCTGAGAGTCTGCTCTGTCCTCAGGGGAGTAAGGCTGGTTCCTACTCCCCTGGGGACAGAAGACTTGCATCTGGGGAAACAAGATCAACAGATAAATATTTTGCATGTTAAAGTTCACAGCCATAGTAGCCACAAGAGCCTAAAGGTGGAACGAACCCAAGTGTCCACCAGCACATGAACACACACAGGGTGGTCTGCACACGTGCAGGGAGACATTGGACCCCAGAGGGTGGGGCTCTGACCCCCCAGCACAGGCCGGCCAGGAGAGTGTGATGGTCGGTGAAAGAAGCCACCCATACAGTCACAGGTCGCATGCTTCCATTCACACAGTAGACTAGTCTGTAGTGACAGAAAGTAGATACTCAGTTGCCAGGGACCGGGAGGAGTGGGAGCCTCTCATGGGTACAGGGTCCTGTTTTGGATAAAAATGCTCTGCAGTTAGGTTGTGGTGGCATTGGGACGCTGTGCGTATATCTAGTAGACCTAGATTGTCCACTTTTTTTTTTTTAATTTTTTAACGTTTATTTATTTTTGAGAGAGAGAGATGGAGCATGAGCAGGGGAGGGGCAGAGAGAGAGGGAGACACAGAATCTGAAGCAGGCTCCAGGCTCTGAACTGTCAGCACAGAGCCTGACCCAGGGCTCAAACTCAGACCGTGAGATCATGACCTGAGCCAAAGTCAGTCGCTCAGCCAATTGAGTCACCCAGGTGCCCCTGGGTTGTCCATTTTTAATAGTTAATTCATGTTAGTTGAATCTCACTTGGGTTTAAGCGCGTGGGTGGCTCAGTTAGTTGAGCATTTGATTATAGCTCAGGTCATGATCTCGAGGTGAGTTTAAGCCCCACATGGGGCTTTGTGCCAGTGGTGCAGAGCCTGCTTGGGATTGTCTCTCTCCCTCTCTGGCCCTCCCCTACATGGGCATGCGTGTGCACACTCCCCCCCCAATAAACTTAAAACCAATTTTTTTAAGAACCAGAAATTTAAAAGGCTAAAAACGGAAACTGTCACTTCCCATGGCCAGGCTGAGGGTGCAGAATGGTTGGGTGTGCTTCTCCAGTCCTGGGTATGAGCTTTCTCGTGCGTGTTTTCAAACTAGGGGTCGCTGTGGTGAAGATGAAGAACCCCCCGGTGAACAGCCTCAGCCTGGAGTTGCTGACGGAGTTGGTCATCAGCCTGGAGAAACTGGAAAACGACAAGACCTTCCGAGGCATCATCTTGACGTCGGTGGGTACTCAGCTCCCTGGGTTCGGATCGCAGCAGGAACCCGCTCCGAGGTCACATCTGCAGGGCACGTGCTATAGAATAACCGGCTACCCCGGCTGTGGGTGCCACCGGGGACCCTAGTCCTGAGCCCGGTCCAAGGGCGACCCCAGGGGTCCTGGCATCTGTGGGCCGATGGCTCCCCCACAGGAGACGGCGGCCTGTGCCCAAGGCCCTACTGGGGAGAGCGCATGTGCCCTGCGGTGGGGCCAGAGCTCAGGGGAGGGCAGGGACGGCCCGGAGCCCCTGCCGGTCGGTGAAGGGCAGTCCACCCGGACATCCTGTTGGCAGTGGAGCCGCCAGGTGTGTCCCCGGGGGGCACGGTAGTGACGCCCACGCTCCCTCGTTCCTCAGACTCAGGTTTTCAGAGGGCAGACTTTGCCTTCTGAGTTCTCCAGGCAACTTTGCTGTTGCGTCCCAGAGCCGACAGATGCTGGTATTTAACGGTGTCTCTGGGAAGGGTGTCCCTGGTGGGGCCGCGGAGGGGGCCGTCCTCAGAGCCTGGGCCGGTTTTCAAACCCAGACCCGCAGGAGCGGGGGTCTCACTTGCTCCTTCCTGTGTCCACGGCCTTCAGGCCCACCCACTTGGCCAGGAGAGGAGATGGAGGAGACGGAGCTGCGAGGTGGGAGCCTGGGCCTGATGTAACAGCCCTTTGTCGGGTTGTGAAGAGCCCTGGAGTCGCCCTTCGAGTTGGGAGGAACCTCCGCATGAGCGTATCCTGCTGAAAGGGCCACCATATTACAGAGACCAGTGAGAGCCGTTGTTAAAGGCGGAAGGTCACGGTCTCTTCCAGCCAAGGCTGGGCCCGTCCACTGGGCCTGGGCCTGCTTTTCTTTTTTTTTTTTTTTTTTTTTTTTTTTTTTTTTTTTTTTTTTTTTAATGGTTTTTTTTTTTTTTTTTATTTCTAGGAGAGAGAGAGAGACAGCGTGAGCAGGGGAGGGTCAGAGAGAGAGGGAGTCACAGACTGAAACAGGCTCCAGGCTCCGAGCTGACAGTCAGCACAGAGCCCGACGCGGGGCTCGAACCCACGAACCGCGAGATCATGACCTAAGCGAAAGTCGGACGCTTAACCGACTAAGCCACCCAGGCGCCCCATGGGCCTGCTTTTCTTAAACCCTTGGGTGGTCCTGGGCATGGCCTGGTGGGGTCACAGCTCCGGGCTCTTGGGATGGGTCTGATGCATGTGCCCGGGGTCCTGTGGAGCGGCCCCCGGGGAAGAGAGTCCAAGGGAGTGACTTGGTGGTGCTCCAGGGGCAGGGCCGGCGCTCACGGGTGCAGGTCACTGTGACGGCTGCAGCTGACCTGTCGGGACCCAGAGCAGTTCCCCGGGAACATTTTGCTCTGGTAATTTCTGAAAATGCTCTGTTTCAGAAGTTTTGAAGTGCGACATTTTGTTCATTGTGCTCTGGAAACAAAAGCCATGAGAACAGGACACTTGTGACCCTCAGTAACCAAGTGCGGGTCCCTGCGGCTCCCCCTGCCGCCCCCTCAAAGCGGCACGGCCCCCAGGGGAGGGGGAACCGGCTTCTGTCCCTCTGAAGCCCACATTGTCCCCAGAACTCTCATCTCCCCACAAATGGGTCTCTGTGTGTCCTCGGCTGAGTGGCTACTATGTCTGCAGCACAAGGTGGGCCCTCGGTCGGTGACAGTGCAGCGTGACGCTGCTGTTGTGGGGACACGTGACAGGCCGCAGATGAGGGCTCCCGACCCCAGTGCGCTGTCTCCGCTGTCCTGGGGCGTCCCTCTCCGCTGCCGGGTCCCGGAGCCCCTGCATCCCGCCTCTTCTGCCCTGGGTCTCAGTAGCCACCTTTCCCTCCCCTCCGAAGGCCCCCTGCTCCCGCGTGGTCTCGTGCTGCTCACATCTGCAAACACACTGTTTGGAAGACAGTCACGCTCGTCGGTGCCGGGGGTGGAGGCGGACACAACTGGGCCCACGGCAGGCTTGGTGCCGCGTCCCAGAAACCACGGCGCGTCCAGTCATCTGGTGGCACAAGCCCCCATCAGGGTGTCCGGACCGTGGGCGCGCTCTTCCCACCCACGTGCAGACAAGCTGCGTGGGGTATTTGGAGGGCAGGGAGGGGTGCCCATAGCCAGCAAAGGATAGGAGAGGAGGCACGTGCCCCCACCTGTCCCCAGCGCAGGGCGTCCGTGAGAGTCCGCCTGCAAGTGTCCTGCGTGTGCAGGTCCTCGTGGGCCACATAGAACCGTGCTCTGCAGTCTGCACACAGCTTCCCTGTCGCTTAACGTGAGGATGTGGGGATGTCTCCTGTGACCATCTCGTACCTCACGTGTCCCCCCATGCCACACAAACCTGGTGGCTGTTGGCCCCAGTTAGTGAATCAGTAACAGGTCACACCAGCCCCCGACGTGCTCTGGCCACAGGAGCATCTGGTTTGCTTAGAGATGTTGTGACTACACGACAGTCCCACGTGGTGGCCACTGAGCCCCCTACCCCACTCTGGGTGGACAGTGTTCACTGGAGAGCAGCGCCGTGGCTGGCGGTCCTCTGCGCCTGCTTCCCCTTTTGTGAGGTGTGTCAGGACCTGGGGCACCCGCACGGGACCCACAGCCCTCTAGGCCAGGCTTCTGTCTCATGCACGAGAGCCCAGGACAGAGACTGGCTCCTCAGCCCATGGCTGTGTCTTCCTGTCCTGCCTGGGTTCTGACAGCAGCACCTCCCGGCCAGCGCTGGCATCGGCAGTGTTCTTGACCTTGAGCATAAATAAGAACATGCGCCCCCTCCAGACTCTGCCCGGAGTCTCATCCGGACCTCCAAGTTCCCCTGCCCGGGACAGCACGGCAGCCGTGCGCAGAGCCCGGGGGGGACACCTGACCCCACCTGCCTGTTTTGCCTTTTCCCATTTGAGACTGGAAAGTAGAAGGAACTAAGTCCGAGGGACGTCCGGACTGAGTGCCCAGAGCTCCCAGCTCTGGCTCCGGGGGGCAGCATCCTGCCACGTTGAACGTGACCTCGACCCTGCGGGCTCCTGGGCCCAGGAGAGGGGGGTGGTTGGGTTGCTGCAGGACACGGGTAGTGATGGGCTCTGGCGCCTTTGCTCTGTCAGGACTGCCCCGGGGTCTTCTCTGCTGGCCTGGACCTGATGGAGATGTGCGGGAAAAGCCCGGCACACTACGCCGAGTACTGGAGGGCCGTGCAGGAGCTGTGGCTGCGGCTCTACCTGTCCAACCTGGTGCTGATAGCTGCCATCAATGTGAGTGTCCCCGCTCCAGGTGGCCGGGCCCACTCACTAGGGCCAGCCCCGGGGGGCACGGGGGGGCCGGGAAGGCTGGGCAAGGGAACAGCTGGGGGAGACCCTCAGATGTACACTGGTGAGCTGCCCTTACAGACAGGCGGGGCCTGGTGACGGGGGTGCCTGGGGGGGGCAGGGACCAGGGCACACGGTCGACACGGCCCAGCAAGAGGGCTGTACGGGGAGAGGAGCACAAGGGGGGGATCAGATTCGCAACTGGAAACGTCGCTCTGGCTGCCCTGGAGCAGGTAGGGGCTGCTGAGATTCGGGAAGCGGTACGCCTGACCACACCGCGCCAGGGACACCCCACAGTGAAGGTGCCAGAGGGTCTGAGCCAAGGAGCAGGAGGGTGGTGAGAGTCAGTACGACCCACGAGGCACGTGACAACTGAGAGCAGCTCGCCATCTCTGTTTGAGGGGGTGCGTGAGATGAGGGCGTGTGAGTTTCAGGTTGCCAGGACATCCTGCTGGGTATGGCGATGGGTCCTCTGGGATGTGACAGGTAGTAACCGCTCCAGCTAAATACCTGTTTGGCGTTTTAGCATCCAGGCCAAAGCCATGAAAAAACGGCTTGCCACCCTCACAGGAGGGTGATTTTCTGACCCCCAAGAGCTGATGGTCCTGTGAGGGCCCGGGGCTGATGGGCAGGCCTGAGTCGCCTTCGTGCACACCCAGCCCGGCCGGTGTGGGTGCAGCGCCCTGGGAGCTCACACCCGCCTTGGGACCTGGCCCTCTGGGGGACGGTCGAGACCCGCCCCTGCAACACCAAAGCCAGGTGGCCTCTCTTCGCCTGCAGGGAGTCAGCCCGGCTGGAGGCTGCCTGTTGGGCTTCATCTGTGACTACCGCGTCCTGGCCGACAACCCCAAGTACACCATGGGGCTGAACGAGACTCGGCTGGGCATCATCGCCCCCTTCTGGTAAGGCTGGGGACTGCACCCGTGCTCCGCTGGGCCCTGGGCGGGGCCGATCCACCCGGGGCCTCCAGCAAGCGAATGTGTTCCAGGCTCAAAGACACCTTTGTGAACACCGTCGGGCACCGAACCGCGGAGCGCGCCCTGCAGCTGGGCTTGCTCTTCCCGCCCACAGAGGCCCTGCAGCTGGGCTTGGTAGACCAGGTGGTGCCCGAGGACCAAGTGCAGAGCACAGCACTGTCGGTGATGACCCAGTGGCTGGCCATTCCAGGTGAGGGGCACAGGGAGAGGCAGCAGGCGTGCGCACTGACGGGCAGAGCCTCCCCCCACCACGGCCGGATGCTCTGGTGGGACCAGAGTCTTCACGCAAAGGTGCTCATGCAGGTCGTGAGCGTGCCATTTGTAACAGCAGACTTCGTGTCCTGGGGTCACTGTGACAAACTACCACAAGGTGGGGGTGGTACTTAAAACCACAAAATGCATTCTTGATGTCAGTAGACCGGGAGACCAAAATCATAGTTTGGGCAGGGCCGTGCTCTCTCCAGAGGCTCTAGAAGGCTCCCGACGCTCCTTGGCGTGGATGTTTGTTATCGCCACCTCTGCTTTCCCCTTCATGTGGCCTGCTCTTCGACACCCCTTCCTTTCTCCTTTAGGACGTTCTGTGATTTAGGGCCCACTCTAAACCCCAGATGACCTCATTCCGACACTACGTCCGCAAAAACCCCCATCCAGATAAGGCCACACACACAGATTCTAGAGCTGTGCTTTGGACTTGCACGTATCTTTTGGGGTCCGCTAGTCAACCCACTGCACCATTAGAAACAGCCTGCAGGTTGTTTGTGGAAACAGGGCTGGGCATGTCAGCTGTGACGGAGCCTGGAGGTCAGCAGACTCGCTCTACGGAGACAGGTGGATTTTGCGCCCTGCGGGTCCGCGTCTGCCCCGCGTCTATGCGGCCTAGGAGCACAGAGGCAGCCAGAGCGTGTCTGTATTCAGTACACGGGACCCCTGATACCTTCACATAGTTTTCATGTGTCACCAAAAGGTCTTTTTTTCAATATTTTTTCCAGTTCTATAAAAATGTAAAAATAGGGGTGCCTGGGTGGTTCAGTCGGTTAACCATCTGACTCTTAAATATTTTTTTTTTTATGTTTTATTTATTTTTGAGAAAGAGAGACTAGTATGACCTGGGGAGAGGAAGAGAAAGAGGAAGACACAGAATCTGAAGCAGGCTCCAGACTCTGTCAGCACAGAGTCCGACGTGGGGCCCAAACTCGTGAACCACGAGATCGTGACCTGAGCCAAAGTCAGACACTTAACCAACTGAGCCAGCCAGGTGCCCCAACCATCTGACTCTTGATCTCAGCTCTGGGTCATGAGTTCAAGCCCCATGTTAGGCTCTGCAGTGAAGCCTACTTAAAAAAAAAAAAAAAAGGAAAACCATTCTTAGCTCACAAGGTTTGCTGAGCCCTGACACAGGCCCAGCTAGATGCTGCGCGCTGTTAATGATATTGTAGAAGAACCTTTAGTGGCACGGAAAGTCTCCCCCCGTAGTACAGTTGAGTGAGAATAACCGGGTAAAAGGCAATTGTTACCGTGTCATCCTATATGTTTTTAATAGAAATTGGGAGGCAGTGGGGAACAGGTGGTTTTCATTTTTTTCTTTCCTTGCTTGTATTTTCTAAGTTTCCGACCAGAGTTCCTGTTGGAACTCTCTCGGAAAGGTTGGGGACGATACCGCTGTCTTGGAGGGCGGTTTTCACACATGGACCTTTTCTGTAGACCACGCCCGACAGCTGACCAAAATCATGATGCGCAAGCCCACGGCCGACCGCCTGGTGAAACAGCGTGACGCGGACATCCAGTATTTCGTCAGCTTCATCTCCAGGGACTCCATCCAAAAGTCCCTGCACACGTACTTAGAAAAGCTCAAAGAGAAGAAACACTAAGGGCTGGGCCGCGCACATGGCGCTTTCCACCGTATGTGCCCTTCCAGGGGCCCTCTGGTTCCGAGGGGGTTTCACTCCAACTTGAAGGCGCTTTCGGCTCTTGGTTTTCCTGATCTTCTTGGAAGCCATGTTCCCAGTAGCTAGTGTCCCCAGGCCACTGTCCCCCACGAGCACCTTTTCTGCCTTGCACGTGGGCAGGGCAGGATTGGAGGCAGCATTCTCAGTTTAGGAATCATGAACTGGCAGGTGGGGCAGTTCAGGACCTCAGCGACGTCACCGCTGACGACTGTCCCCTTTCCCAGAGCAGAAGTGTGAATAAATCTTTGTGCTGTCCCCTCACTGGCTCCCCGGCCACCTGACTGCTGGGGGCATGCGGCCAGCTCGTTGTGGGCTGATGACCCGCGCGGGACGCCCAGAGGAAAGCCCTCTGGCCACCACATCTGCCTGTCTAGATGGAGGGGGCACAGAGCCCGGGAGCGTGGGGCGTGGGGAGGGGCGTTGCTGGTGAGCCAGTCTGTGCTGCAAGAGCCTGGGTCCTACTTTAGAGAGAGTGCGTGAGAAAAACTCATGCAGGCCCTTGAAGCAAAGGTATTTCCTCCACACGGTGCAGGTGTCTCCAGAGTTGCCACATGCGAGATGTTTCCCAAGTCAGAAACCTCACTGGGCCCCTGTCAGTTATACCCTGTCCCCACTTGTGCTTGTTCCCGATCCTCAGGTGACAGGCTTCTCGGGGACATGGGCCACAGCTCTCCCGGACAAGTCCTTGCCCAGCCCAGGGCTGGATACCCGCCTGCCAGCCTGGGCAAGGAGTCCAGCCCACTCACCGTGGCGGGGGAGGGGCAGCGGGGACTGTGAGCTTGGCCTTGTCTGTCAGCACTGCCTCTGTGTGTGTGTGCACGTGTGTCCCCAGCTGCGCTCGCACGGGTCCTTGGGTGCATTTATAGTTCACACGAGGGAAAACTAAGCTTCCAGTTGTAAGCACTGGAGCTGCGTTCTAGAGCCTGGTCTGGAGGTTGTCAGTTCCCAGCAGGGTGTGACATGGGCAGCCAGGTCATCCCTGCTCCCCTAGGGGGCGGGACCTGGAACCCACCGGGCTACAGGACCCAAGTTGGGGCCTCAAAGGAGCTGAGTCCTAAGAAAGGACACGGAGGCCTTGAACCGACCAGTGTGTGGCCCTGGCTAAGCGCTGGCTCTTGTTTATTGAGCATAGCCAGTGACCTAGCAGTCTGCAGGGTGCTTCTCACAACCCTACGAGGTAGATGTAAAAGCCCATTTTAGAGACGGGGAGACAGGCCGAGGGGGCTGCAGTGTGTCCACAGCCGCTTGTCCGGCCAGCCCTGCCCCACTGCGTGCCGGGGCTTTGCCAGCCGCCCGGAAGGAGTCCTGTGGGGGCCAGAGTCCTCATGTCGAGTCTGGGGGCACCATGCCCTGACCAGGCCTGGAAGGTTTTCAATGGGACTTCAGGGTCACTTCCACAGGAAAATGGTCACTGATGGCAAGGGCCTGGAGGGAAAGGAGGTTGAGCCTCAGCAGCCCCGCTGGGCAGCCTGTCCTCCCTCAGGCTCCAACCCCTCCACACCCCTCACCCCGCTGGAGCCCCCCCGGGCATCTACCTACAGACCACTGCGCTGCTTGCAGGTGGGGTGGGGCTCGGACTGGGGACCCCAGTCCAGGAGAGGCCAAGGGCATCTCCTCCTGCCATCCTAGACTTGTTCCTTTGAGCAGAACTGAGCCCCTAAGGACCCTTCCGAAATTCTAGCGCAGGGAGGGGCGCCCCAGCCGTGGGCAGCCGGACGCTGGCAGTCCCCCGCTCACCTGAGTCTGGTCCAGGCCGAACTCCTCCTGGAAGTTGTGCACAGCGGCCGACTGGGGCTTCAGGCTCCTGCGCAGGCGGGCGCCGCTCACCACGATGCGGTCGTAGGCGCAGTCCGAGTTGCCCACGGTGGTGTCGGCGCTGTCCGGGATGAGCCACTTGAAGACCTCGCTGCTACGCAGGCGGACGGCCGGCCAGTCCTGCGCCCGCACGTAGCTGCAGTCCGCGTTGAAGTCGCCCAGGAACAGGAAGTCCTGCGGGGGCCGCGGAGCCGGGGCTGAGCCCGCGCGAGGGACCCGCGCACCCCCGGGACGCGCCCGCCGGTGTCCCACTTACGTCGGTGCCCCACTTGTCGATCACGTCCAGGTACACGTCGTAGAGAGCGTCGATCTCCGCCACGGCCTGGTGCGGCGCCGCGTGCAGCGGGATCAGCACCAGCTCCCCGGCAGCTGCGGGAGGCGCGCGTTAGGGCCGGGGCCGCGGGGGCGCGGCCGCGGGGGCGGGGCCGCGGGGGCGGGGCCGCGGGGCCTCACCCGAACCGGGGGCCGAGAACTTGACCACGAAAGGTTCACGGCTGAAGGCGTCCTCCGGGTCCGGGTACTGGTACGTGTCCACCACTGACACCGCGTCCTTCCTGGGGAAGGGGATGGGTGGTGGCGCTGAGCCGGCCCCCTCCTGGGCCGCGCACCCAGGCCCCGGGGCCCCGCCCCTCACCTGTAGACAAACAGGTACATTTCTTTGTACTGGTCCCGACCCAGGGGCTCGCTGCTCACGAAGCTGTACTCGTGCTTGGACACGCTGCGGAGACAAGGGCCAGGCCCGTGGTCAAGTCACCCGCCGGGCCCTGCGAGCCTGACCCGGGCCCCGAGCGCTGGACCCTGTCCCCCGCACCTGTTGATCTGCTCCATGAGCGCCGACACGGCGCTCAGGTCCGGGTCTCGCACCTCCTGCACCAGCGCGATGTCATAGCCAGCTAGGATCTGGAGGAGGGGCCGGCAGGTGCGGGGTCACGCGCGGAGGAATCACCGGAGAAGCCCCGCTGCGGCCCCGCCTCCCGGCCCCGGCCTCACTTGCGCAATGACGCCGCCGCAGGCTGGGTCCGACACTTTGCTGTCGCCAAAGCTCTGGATGTTGAAGGCTCCGATGCGCAGCGCTGTGGCCCTGGAGGCCCCCAGCGCCCAGAGCGCAGCCAGTAGGAGCCGGAGCCCACCCATTGCGCGGAGCAGCCGGGCTGGGAGCGATAGAGACGCTTTTGAGCTCGCGTCTGAAGCCAGACACACCGAGCAGCCCCTCTCCGCCCCAGCCCTGGGGCCGCAGTCCCGCAAGAACCCCTGACCCAGAGGTTACCTGCGTGTCCATGTGTCCCCAGTGATGTGCTAGGCTTACCGTGGCCATTCTACCCCATGGGGAAACTGAGCCCCAAATACAATGACCCCATTCCCATCCAGCCTCCTGGTCAGCCGAGCCCTCCCAGCCACGGCACCCCCACACCCGCAGGCTCCATCACTCACCTGGGATGTGGATGGGGCAGCGGCCGGGGCTCAGGATCTAGGTCGGAGATCTGGGCTGGGGGTGTGTCTGGCTTGGTGGGGCAGCAGTGGTGAGGCCAGGACTCAGGCAGGTATTTGAGGCCCTGATCCAGGGAGGGGCTGGACTGCTCTGGGCCCGCCCCCCAACAAAGCTGGACGCTGGCACTCCTGGTGGCTGGTCCCAGGGAGAGCCCTGAGGGCCACTGCTCTGGTGCCCCCAAGCCCGTCAGAAGCAAGACTCCAAAGACCTTGACCGCCTCCCAGCCCCGTGTCAGGATGGATAAGAGGCTCACCACCCACGGTCCAGTCCTTGTTCCTGTCCTCTCCCCACCCCCGAAACCAGGTCATCCAGAATCTCCCTCCTTCAGCGGTGCCCTCTGGGAAAATAAGGCAGTGCAGCCCTGTCCCCCCACACGCTGTCACCTCAAGGGGGAAAAGCTTCGGTCCCCGGTCCGGACAGACGGCACTGGGGCTGTAGGTGGGGAAGCAGCACCCCTGGGCCTCAGGAAGCTGGGGTCACAGCTCCAGCTGGGCAGGGCGCGAGGAGGAGGCTGCCTGTCCACATGCCAGTGCCACCCACGCACCGCCAGGGTGCCGCCAGCCCCCCCGGGGCCCTGGGCGGGGTGGCCGGGCACGGAAGTCCAGAGGGTGGCCCGGGCAGGCGTGCTGCCACAGGGAAACTGCCGGGACAGTGGCCCCCCAGTCCTCGAGGCTGCCGCTGCCACGGCAACATCACAAGTGGTGGGGTTTTCATGTTTTATTGTAAAGCAACAAAAAATTGTATTTACACTCCCACATCCGCTGCAAACATCTGAATTCTGTGTCCCTTCTTCTCTGGGTCCTCGCCCCACCCAGCCCAGCCCCCACGACCCTGTAGGTGGCCACGTTAGACAATGACCGTCTGCACCTCCAGCTGGCCCTCCGGCGAGGCGATGACCAGCTCGCCTGCGTGCTCCAGGATTTCAATGTCCTCCGATGAGACCATGGTCACCGTGGCCTGCTCAGCGCCATCTGCACCCGCTCGGGCCGTGAGTACAGTGCCCTCGCTGATGGCCGAGGCCAGCGTCATGGCCACCTGCTCCGTCAGGCTCTCAGGGGTAGCAATGGTGATGGTGTCCGTGGCGGCGGCCTCTGGGCCCAGCCCCGCCTCCTGGTCCATAGTCACATTCTGCACAATGATCTGGTGCCCGGCGCTGGCCTGGTGCACAATCTGCTGTACCACCTTCATGATGTGGCTGTCCACCTGTGGGTGGCTCACGGCTCAGCTCGCAGCTGGTGGGGGGTGCCCACACCGCCCTCCTCGGCCCTCCCCCAGCCCCTCACCTCCGTTTGGGCGCCTTCAATGATCTCCGCGGCTTCGCTAGCCTCCGCATCGTCCGCAGCGGCCTGGGCAGGGGTCAGAGGTCAGCTGGCCCTGGGGGAGGCTCCGTCCCCCCCCCCCCCCCCCCGTCCTGTCCCCATCGCGCCCACCTCAATGATGTACTCCTGGGTGTCGGCCACAACAGAAGAGAACTCAACCAGCACGGCGTGCGGGTCCTCAGCGAGGACTGCGGCGGCAGCAGTGGGGCTCTCCTCCGCCACCAGCAGCTCCTCCACCTCCAGCAGGCAGCCGCCTGGGGGTGGGGGGTCTCGGTCAGCACGCCGGACGACACCCCCACCCCCCCACCCACCGCACCCAGCCCTGACCTTTGGTGCGCAGGTGCCGGTTGAGGGTGCCGTGCTCGGCGAAGCCCCGGCCGCAGCGGTAGCACTTGAAGGGCTTCTCGCCCGTGTGGTGCCGCACATGCCGCACCAGGGAGCCCTTCTCCCGGAAGCCGCGACTGCAGAATGGGCACACGTGCGGCTTCTCCTCCAGGTGCGTCCGGAAGTGCACCTGCTGGGCGTTCTGTGGAGCCCCACCATCAGTGCTGGCCTCGCCTTGGCCCAGGGCCCGGCTGGAGGGGCTATGCGGTCAGGGAGGGCCACCTCAGCCCCCGGGCGGGGCAGGGACCTGCGGTCTGGAGGCAGGGAACGGGGCAGGGATCTGGCCCAGGAGAGGGGAGCCCTTGGGGTCAGGGGTCAGGGCCTGAGCCGCCCACCTTGGTCTTATAGCACTTGCCACACTCAGGACACGGATAGGGCCGCTCGTCCGAGTGCACGCGCCGGTGGCCGCGGACATGCGCGATGGTCTTGTAGAGCTTCCCGCAATCTCCACAGCGGAAACGGCGCTCGTGCACGTGAACCTCCTGGTGCTTCTTGAGCAGGTAGGCCTTGGGGAAGGCCTTGCCGCACTGCACGCACGTGAACGGCCTTGGCCCTGGGGCCACACAGGGACATGAGGCCGGGTCTCCACCGAGGGCCCCATGCACCCATCCTGGCTGGCCACTGCCCAGTGCCCCCCACTCCTGCCACCCACCTGCATGGCCCCGTTTGTGGGCCTCCAGGGTGGCCGCTGTCGGGAAGGTCTCACTGCACTGAGGGCATGGGTGGGTCCTGGGCACAGCTGAGGCCCCGCTGGCCACCTGCTGGGAGGGGGGGTGTCATAGCATGCCTCTGGCACCCACTGTGGGCTGGACACCAGCAGTACAAAGAACAGAGCCATGGTACCCCCACACCGGCAAGCTCCAGCACAGGCCCAGGGAAGGCAGTAAACGGGGAAGAATCACTGCACAAAGTAACGTGATGTTTCCACCCCAGGGAACACAGCAAGGGTGGCTGCCAGGCCAGGGTCGCGACCTTGTACCCAAGGTCTGACCCCCAAAGGAGCTCGCCAGTGGCGCGGGCACCTACTGTCTCCACTGGCTCCACCTCCAGCAGCGGCAGCTCTGGAGGACCGTCTCCCAGGGGCTGGGGACTGGGCGCCGCAGGAGGGGCTGGCTCCAGGGCCCCCTCCTCTCCAGTGACACGCTCAAGGACGATGCCGGAGTTCTGCATGGCCTGGTGCAGCAGGTTCTCACGGCCAGCCTCGCCGGAACAGGGGAGCTCCTCGGAGCTGGGGGGCTGTGGGCAGCAGAGGGAGGGCAGCTGGCCCGGCATCGACACTCGGCACCTGCTTGCACGCACTACACGGGGCAGAGCCAAGGGGCCTCGGGGGCACTGTGCATAGCCTGGGGGAGCCCCACAGCCCGCTCCACCTCACCCCCAGCTCCCTGTCCCTCCCTGCCCTGTGGCATGCCATTGGTCTCCCGTCTCCCCTGCAACCAGACCGTGCACCAGGAAGGCAGGCCAGACTGGTCCTGTCCCCACCAGAGCCATTGACCAGCACGGAGCCCAGCACTAAGTGGACAGAGGCCACCCCCCTTGCCTGCCCGCACCTCTGGGGCCAAGGCTTTCATGCCCAAGGGAAGCTCTTGCATCTGGACATGGACTTCGTGGATGACAGTGCCCTTGGCGTCTGTAACCAGGTGAATCACGGGTGATGTCTCCATAGGTTCACCCGTCACTGATGCTGACGTAACAGTCCCCATGGTGGAGGCGCCAGATCCTTTAAGGCAGAACCAGGAGAGTCCATGAAGAAGCTGCCGACCAGGGCAGCACCCAGGCCGGGGGCCAGGGCAGGGAGCCCCTACCCCGCTGACCTGCAGGCGTGTCCTCTTTGCCCACAACCACGTCCTTGCTCATGCTGAAGCGAATCTTTTCTGTGCACGGGGTGAGAGACTTGAGGTGCCGGGTCAGCGCGCCCGACTCCCGGAAGCTCTTCCCACACTTGGCGCACTTATAGGGGCGCTCATCTGCAGAGAGGGCGGAGTGAGCCCCGGGCAGGGAGGGTGGCCCGGGGCCACAGCCTCACGCCCCCCCCCCCCCAGAGCAGGAGCCACAAGGCCGGCTCCCGGGCCCCGCCTGGCCCACCTGTGTGCCGCCGGTGGTGCCGGATGAGCGAACCCTTGGTCCGGAAGGACGCGCCACACAGCTTGCACTCGTGGTCCTTGCGGCTGCTGTGGGTGACCATGTGGGCCTTGAGGATGCTGCCCTGGGGGAGGGGGGAAGGGGGCTCAGGCACCTCTCCGGCGGTGCGGCGGGGAGTCGGGGGGAGGCCCGGCGCACCCGCCGGGGGGGCCGCACACGGGGCGCTCACCGTCTTGAAGGTCTTGTGGCACAGTGCGCACACGTAGCGGCCGTCCTTGTTCACCAAGAGCTTGACCTGCGCCTGCTCGCCCTCCCCGGGGAGCCCCGGGCCCTGACGGCTGGGGCTGCCCGGGGCTTCTGCCATCTCGTTGTCCCCCGCCTCTGCCTCAGCGGCCACAATGACCTCTTTGATGTGTCCACCGCCTGAGGAGAGGCAGGTCAGCCTGAGCCTCGGGACGCTGCGGGCCCTGCCACCTCCTTGGATCCCTGCCCGGGGTGTTGCTAGGACATGGTGGCGCTGTCCTGACCGCCCTCCGGCCCAGGGCCTGGCACCTGCTCCATGAGTGGGAGGCCGCCCAGAGGAGCTCCGGGACCCAGAATGCGCCCAGCGGGGACGCCCACCATGAGCACCAGAGCCCCCTCCCAAGCCAAGGAGCACAGGACGGGATGTGTGCAGGGCTCCTGCCCCGTCTGAGGACAACTGAGTGCCCCCCGGCTCACGGCCACCGGCCCTGCTCACTGTACCGGCTCCCACTGACGGGCAACAAAGATGACTCCGCGGGTCACCCTGTCTTGAGGCAGGGAGGCTGGGCACCTGCCCGGGAGAGAGACGCCTGGGGCTGCCTGAGGAAGGGGGCCTGGCCTCGGCGCCTCTCACGGGTGATGAAAAGATCTGACAACGTGCAAAGCTAAGCTATAAACACACTTCATAATTTCTGCTCATAAAAATGACATGTGGGAAGCGGCTGTAAAGCCACTTCTTAGGAACCAGCTCCATCAGCCAGGCATAGTGTTTTGACAAGCCATTCTCCCAAACAGAACGCAAGCACCGTGACTCAGAGACAATTAAGGGCATCTCTCGCCCATGCCAGAGCGGACGTGCTTGATGCTCTATCTTTCCTTCACCCCAGAAGCAACCTCCAGAACGACAGGGACTTCTGCCAAGCTAGGACGTGGGACAGAGCATGGCACAAGACACAGCAGACGGAGGGCTCGAGGAAGGAAGAACATGGCTGCCCCAAGTCCAGAGATGAAAAGCAAGTCTGTTTCCAGCAAAGAGGCAGGAGGGCCTGCAAGAGGTACCTGGGCCCCCGCACAGCCCCTGCTGATCGATCGTGGCCCCTGGCCCCGCAAGGGGTAAGACACCCCCAGCCCTGGGATGCCAGCGACTGGCAATTTAGGACTCTAGCCAACCCTGGAGCAATGAGCAGAGGACCCCCGGGGGCGTCTGGGGCACCAAGATGCCTGCAAAGGGGGCAACAGGGGACAAGAAAGGTGGGAGGTATCGGGAGAGGAGCCC